GGGTTAAGTAAGATTTATTTAATAATTGCAAATATCAAATGATAGAATTGTAGTTGTATATAGATGAAAAGAGTCCAACAGAATATTGTGTTACAATTGACGTGCTTAGTTATGTTTTTGATATCAGTGAGGATCAACTTTGGACATATTTAAACAATCCGTACGAGAATACATTTGGAGTCAGTGTCAATGTACTTTAGGCACTTGTGACAGAAGAGGTTTCGGAAGAAGTACTATTGGTTCATTTAGCTTTTATGATAAAGTTATGCATGATTTCATACCATTTATCATTTTCTTGTTTTGTTTACATTGATTAATTTGGCATGTATAGTTTCTTTTCCCTGTTGATCACTTTAGCATCTTTTTTTTTTTTTTTTTTTTTTTTTTTTTTTTTTTTCCTATTTCGTTTATGAAAAATAGATTCCTTTCTGATAAGATAGAAGTTATTGAAACATTATGAAATATGTCTCTTTTTTACTATGGATGTCATTTTGTTTCAGGAGATCGGCAACCAAGGAGGTTGCATGAGTAAAGGCACTAACGTACCCTAGTGTACAACAGTGATTTAAGGGAGAATGCAGTATTTGCTGTTTCAGTTGGCAAGTTTTAATTGCTTTCTTCGGGATGATTTGAGTAAGAGTATTTGCAGGTTCGGGCTGCATAAGAAGAGATTGTTATTCATTATTATTATTAATTTTTATTTATATATTTATTTTTATTTTTATTATTATTTTTTAGAGGTGTTTTATTTATTATAAACATGCATCGTGAATGGAAGAAAAAAAGTGGGGAATATCTCAAAGTATTTATGTATTGTCTATCATATCCATCCCACAGCAAATATAATATACAGTGCATTGTCTCATGGTAATGTCGTGGTAATGCTTCCGTGTGCAGGAAATTCATGGATGTTCAGCTATTTATTTTGCTTACTTTACTTAAATTATATTGTGCTTTATGTATATTTTGCATGACTCATTTCCTCACGAAGTTAATTATAGGTCCATATGCACACAGACACCTTTCCTTCAGTACAGCATTAGTGATTTTGAAATAGATGAACTCTGTACTTGACATAATGCTTTTTTAAAGAGTATCATCTAATAGTCAAAATATTATATGGCATCAGTAACAGAGCATTGTAAATTTGCTTAGAATATTTATTATTTATTTTTCCTGTATGTTTGGAATTTGTGAAGTAAATTCCATGGTGTAAACATTACTATACGGGAGCCTGACTTTGCAGAAAGTTGACACAGAAATAAGATGTTAATTGTGCATAATGAAAGCATGATATTTACCCTGTGTAATTTGTGATTCTGAATTAATTTGTTACTGTTCTTAAGTAACTAATCAGAGGATTCAGTATATTTTGATAAATATTGCAATAGATGTACACATTTCATATTTGATATAAGTTTGGGTCATGAGTTGCATATTTGCAAAGGATAGTTCAAGTAAAGGTCTTAAATATTTACTTAATTTGCAAAGTCAGGGTTATCATAATTGATGTTAGGTGGTGTATATACATGTTTTTATATGCTTTTAAAATTTTGTTTAGAATCTTTTGTTTTCTTTTTATGAATTAATGAAAAAATGTGTATACTGGACTTTTAAAAGGATTTTTTATTTCTTTTCTTTATTTTTTTTCTATTGTGGATTCTCAGACTAGCCATTTAGTCCTTTTATATGACAGGAAACTTTCATACATTATAACAAATAACTTTTTAAAAGTATGTGTTCCTTTTCTTTGAAATTTAAACTTAAAATAATGTATTGAATCATCTTCATTTTCTTTTGTGAAGTTCTCTAAAATGTGCATGTGTATGTGTGAATGTGAGCCTGCTCCATTACGTCTCATTTTAAGGTAGATATCCAGTGAATAGGTACTACATTTGCATTCCAGTATGCGCTTTGACAAAGATGTGATCATTCCATGGCTAATGATGTCATTTTATTAGCTGTACTCCTTGCTCAATTATTGTTTCTTATAGAGGCAGTCTTTGTGTACCACTTAATGACAGTATTGGTCCAACTAAGTTTTGATATTGTAGACAAGAATCTGTCCATATCTAAAAATTATACTATATTGCATACCTTTATATTGTTGATTTAGCATAATTGTATGGTACAGTTTACCACTTAATTTATGTTACAGTTTTGTGGAATAGCTAGCATATCTGTTTCATTATTTGGGTCTACATATTTTATCCTGCTTAATAATAGGTTGTTAAATGATCTGGTGTGCAGAGGACTAAATGAACACGTACAGATCTCTGCATTTTCTTCATGGTTCTTTGTATGATGATCATTCCAGCATAATAATTTTTTGACAGTGCCATTTTGAGTAGTATTCATCTGTGAGGTGTATGGGTTGACATTTTTTTACCTTCTCATTGCAAATAAACTGATGAGAGCAAAGTCCTCCATGCACATAGGCCAAATAAGAACAAGAAAATTCCATGTCCCGGGTAAATGAGCTTTCGTTTTTGTGTGTAACCATTTGTGTGTGTGTGCTCATGAAAGTGAATGAATAATTGTACCTGTGAATGGGCACCTGTTTACCTGTATATGTTTGTGTGGGCATCTAGGCATGTATGTTTGAATGAGTTTTGGTTCACTTGGTTACAGTGTGTAGGCAAGAATGATTTCTTTTATGTGTGAATGCACAGTTGCTTGTATGTCAATCTCTGCATTTCCTTTCTTAATACATGGACCATAATTTCATTTACCCCCAAATAAACCCAACAGTTAACGTTGGCAGCACAATAGTCAAGATTGCATTTACCAATGTATTTTTATATATAAATCAGTATTTAGACCATTCAGTACTTATTTTATGGATGTGATTAGTACTGTTCTCACTCACCGCCATGGAACTTCAAGACTCCATAGCAATTCAGAATGACACTTGTAAAATGCCAAAATGCGTAGTTTGAAACTAATCTTTCCATAGTCTTCAGGGTAAAGTAGAAAGTACACCAATTATGGGCTTCCAGATTTATAGCAGCGCATTTTGTTCAAATCCACATAAAGACATTGTTTATTGAAATTTTAGAATTATGAGTCTGTCATGCATTCAAGTTTTAGTGAGTCTGCTTTTCCATTTAAGCTTCATGAGCATTCATGACTTTATAAAATCATGACTTTGTTCCACCATTCCTATAATTATATAGTATTACCACAAGTAGTTTAGTTTTAAATTCATGTATCTCTTATATTATCTGAAGTAACTGTAAAGATCTTGAAATTATGCATTGCTCAAAATGTACAGCATCAGAGTAAACTTTTATTCACAGTCAAATTAAATAAAATTTTGTATTGTTTCCATCCATTTGCAGTATAGTATTTTTTTTCATATGCTATTTTTAAAGTTGTTTGTTGGAGGGAGATGTAGAGGGTCTTCCAGATAAAGACTTTGTTATTCATATATTTGGAGGCTGTTTTAATTCTCTCTGTCTAACCTATGATCATCATTATTACATTCTGGGTATAATTTTTTGGGTCATGCTTGCGATTGTCTATTAATTTCTCTATTTGGACATTAACAGTAGTGAGGGATGAATTATATGGTTCTGACTCTTCATACAATTGCAAAGGCTATATTTGATAGTGTAGATATGTATGTTTAGAACCATGGTAGTGCCGATCTTAAAAGTCTAAGGTTTTAAGTGACAGGTTACTCGTTTTTTTTTTTTTTTTTTTTTTTTGTTCTTATTAATGAGTCAAGTAAAGTGTGGCAGTAGAGTGATAAGATGTGATGACGAGTGATGTGATGATGTGTTATTTCACGTGATTGTGCAGGTGCTGAATGTTACATGTTATTTTGTGATGATTTAGGGGTGAAAAGAGATCCCGGTGCTCACTGGCCCAGGGTATGTTAATTCAAATGAATATTAGAATTTTGTAGTATAATGGGCCCTTAGATTTTAATTGTGATGTAGTGAGGATAGTCTTGTTATTTATAGTGTATTAGGATTTATAAAGCTAGTTTGCGGCATAGAGTAACTTCGAGCTCAATATAGAGTTTGGCACTATTACATTTGATTCAGAATTGATCTATAGATGAAGTGTGACATATTTTGAGATCATAATGACAGGTGAACATGACAAACATGACAGATTAGTTCATAAGATTTAGTAGTGCACCGACAATACAGCTTAGTATTTCCTTTGAAATATATATATATATATGAGTTTTTTTTCCTGTTTCAAAGCTTATGTATTTTGGAAGTATTAGCAAGGATGTTGTCAACAGAAGTCTTAAAATTGCTTTTTATGAAATATTTCACCATGTTTCTGAACTATAAAATTATAATTGCTCAGGACAGAGAATAAAAAAAAAGTGTAGATATGCAGATATCTGTATACAAGCCAATATTATTATTATTATTATTATTATTATTATTATTATTATTATTATTATTATTATTATTATTATTATTATTATTATTATTATTATTATTATTATTATTATTATTATTATTTATTTATTTATATAATTTTAGGTACATTGTGAGGTCTTTAGGCATGACAATTTGTTTCCAAAAAAGGCACCTTATGTTAATGTTTTGGGAGGGTATGACTAATATAGTAATATACATTGGTATAGGGATTAAAATAGTCTGCTGTAAATATATAGTGCTATGTATATTTTAGACCTATATATCCATTTTAACAGAAGCATTATTTATAATACTAATCAGCAATGAGATTTTAGCAAAGATATATAAGAATTTTAATTTTGTGTGTGTGTTAGTATATGTGTGTGTGTGTGTGCGTGTGCGAGTGTGTGTGCGGGTGTGCGTGTGTGCGAGTGTGTATGTGGGCGTGCGGGTGTGCGTGTGTGCGTGCGTGCGTGCATGTGTGCGTGCATGCGTTTGTGCATGCATGCGTGCTTGCGTGTGTACTAGAAAGGGAGAGATGGAGGGATGAAAAGAGGGAGGGAGGGAGGAGAGAAAATAGAGAGAGGGAGGGAAGAAGGGAGGGAGAGAGGGATG